TTTGGTGTGGATCATCCTTGGGTAAAGGGGAACCAATTTTGTATAAACTGTGGGTGTGGCCCCCTGGGGGCTAACGGGCGGGGCCCAATAGGGAAAATGGGAAAATATAGCAAATCTTTTAAAATCCTTCTTCTTGTGTAGGAATGGGAGAATTTGTTCCATATTTGGGCAAGAGGTACTCAATTTTGTATAAACAGTGAGTGTGCCACCCACACCCCTGTGGGCAGAAAGGTGAGGCCCAATAGGGGAAACATAGCAAATTATTCTTTAAAATCCTTCTTATTCTGTAGGAATGAAAAGATTTGGTAAACAGATAAGCAGAGGGTGTGGTCTCCCAGGGGGCAGAAGAGCGGGGCCCAATAGGAGAAATATAGGTAAAACCTTTAAAATCCTTCTTCGATAATCCGGATAAAGGGATTTTATCCTTATTTAGTCTGGAGCATCCTTGGGCCAAGGGGACTCAATTTTGTATAAACGGTGTGTATAACCCCCCTAGGGGATGGGCTCTGTTTGAAGTTTGTTCTCGTTATATCTCAAGTACTGGATGGATCTTTCTGAAATTTCATTTGTACTTACAGCACCTACCATGGAGTGCTATATTTTTACTTCATACCAGTTATTTTAAACATATTCAGGTGAGCGATACAGGCCCTCTGGGCCTTTTGTTTTGTTTTTGATAAAGTTTAAAAAAATAACAATAAAATTTCCTTTAATATCATCAGAAATTTGATTTTAACACAAATTGTTCATTTTTACAGCTGTCTACAGTTTACACTAAAAATCATTTTACTACCACGCTATTGCAATGAGTAGATACTTAGAAGAGAGAAACGTTTAAAAAACCAGTGAGAGAATTCACAAAATATAAATCTCAGTAAAGTTTAAACATAGTGTATAGGAACAAATTTCTGTCAGATTTACTGCTCTTTAAATCTGGAATGTTTTTATTTTCCTCTGATTGAGACTATAATGGTGATATATTACTATGCCTTCAGGAACTTGGACTTGGAGTCGTGCCTGTGGGAGTTTGATGGTTATTTTGACATGTCCGAGCTTGTGTTGGTATGCGGAGGAGAAATCTCGACAGATGGGCAGGTGAGTGTTCAAGATTGTCTGTTTACACCTTTTCAACGTGAGTTGAAATGTGATAAAAAGCAAAAACAACTGACTAAAAAAAACTTATAACAGAAAAATTTCATTGAGATATTAAATTCCAGGTTTGTTGAGGATGTAGATAAAGTCTGCATAGAAGATGTCTGCCTCTGCCGTGATGACCAGGTTTGTCATGAAATATGTTCTTTTTCTTACTACTTCCAGCCAATCAACTTGAAGCAGTCCCGAGTGACCATGTTTGTTCCGTTGCCGAGGCTGTAGGGGTTTGACGGCAGTCAACATGCAGACTGACCTGGAGCTCAGCTTTGTCTACCACACCGCTGTCTTGTGGCAAAATGGTATCACCACAGCACTCCGGTCAAACTTTAGAGGTTAGTCATGAAATATTCAAAGATTGCCTTATATTGACACTGATTTCATCTTCAAATACCATTATGAACAATGTTTGAGTTACCAAGCAATCAAAGTGCTGACATTCCTTAATGAAAATTGTATACACAACATGTCACATGTGATATAACATTACAGGCGGTAACATCCAATCAAATACTTCACAGAATTCAGAAATCTATCATTACAGCTTTAATCAGATAGCCTTGGGTATCAAGTTTGTGGAATGGTACAAATGTACATTGTCTGGTCATTTTAGTCAATTGCTAAATATGCAGGCGATTCAGTCAACTGTCGAGATACCTAAAAGTAGGAAGGTTACGTCTACAACTCCTCCGTCTGACTAGCAGGATGTTGGTGAATTAACAAGTTTTCACTAAAATCAATATAATCGGTTAACATTAACGTGGCTGACCATATTTTCAGGATCCTTGTACCCAACTAGTCTACGTATCTAGGACGACAAACGATTGATGGTGACGATCAGGACTACACCCAACTTTAGGGGCCAGTTTGTCCCTAGTAACTCAGGTACGTCAAATCACAGTAACGAAAGTAATTTATTTAACTGGGTACTAATCACAGGTAACACAGGTATGTCAAATTGCAGGTAGCAACAGTAATTTGAATTACTAGATACTAATCACAGGTAACACAGGTATGTCAAATCACAAGTAATAACAGTAATTTAAACAACTAGGTACTAATCACAGGTAACACAGGTATGTCAAATTGCAGGTAGCACAGCTACGTCGAATCACAGGTAACAACAGTACTCACAGGTAACAAAGGTATGTCAAATCACAGGTAACACAGGTACGTCAAATCACAGGTAACACAGCTACGTCGAATCACAGGTAACAACAGTAATTCAAATTAATAGGTTCCTAATCATGTGTAGGTAAATCATAATGTTTATCTGCTAATTCTTTTAGAAATAAAACAAACTGAGCTTAATTTTTAGCTCACCTGGCCGAAGGGCTAGTGAGCTTATGCAATGGTGCAGACAGGCCTAGAGTCATGTTATTAAGTTGATATTTCATTTGTAAGAGCCCAGCAAAGTTTGATAACAAAAATGACCTTGACCTACTTTCAAGTTCACAGGGGTCAAAAGTGTCAAATACTTTAAAACGACTTCTGATAAATAACTGGAAGGTAGAGAATCTTTATATGTGGTTGGTAGCTTCGTTGGTAAGAGCCAAATACCTTTTGAGAACGAAAATGACCTTGACCTTCTTCAAGGTCACAGGAGTCAAATATGTCAAATACTTAAAACGACTTTTCTGAAGAACTGAAAAGGAATCGAATCCTAATATTTGTCTTGTAGCTTCTAGGGATTGATCTTGCGAATGAAATTACCTTGACCCACCTTCAATCTAGTCCCAGGGGTTGAAATGTCAAACTTATAAAACAACTTATTCTGAATAATGGGAAATGCATATAATCTGGCTGGTTGCTTCTTGGGATTGAGTCCATCAAAGTTTACTATTGAAAACGACATTGACCTTCTTTCAAGGTCACAGGGGTCAAATATAGCAAACACTGCAAACAGCTTCTTTTGAAGAAGTGAAAGTCATGGAGTCAAGATATTTAACAGGTAGCTTCCTTCGATGGAGCCCAACAAAGTTTGCGAATGAAAATGACCTTTAATTTACCTACTTTATCCTTTAGCTTTATCTTACTCTAATTTGGTATAGAGTATCTTTGGCCCAACATGATTCAATTTTGTAGAAAGCATGCCCCTATCCCAATGGGGACAGGATAACGGGACCCAATAAAGTAAGGGTATTACTGAGATACGTACAGAGCCAATATTTGGAGATATTTGTAGTACGGCATAATATTTATTTAATATTTTGCTATGACTGCTTGAGCAGGTGAGCGATTCAGGCCTTCTGGTTCCAGGACCCCGTTTTGAGACTGATTGAAAAAAATCAGATGATCGTAGGCGGTCATCTTGGAATTCGACATTTCAAGAATCGTTATCACTATTTCCCAGGAAGTACTTTACAGATTTTTCTCATGTGGCAATGATTGGTTCTATTTCTTTCACATTAAGTATTGTACTAGTAAATATGGGAAATGACAAACTCACTTTGAATGTTGTCTTTTATACACTGCAGTATGAAGTTTAGATCAAAATTTACGTCAAGGTGCATTTACTGTTTACATACATTTAAATCGATCAAATAGATCAGAAAAAAGATGTGAACAAATCAAACTGACATAAAACAAATGAAGATTGTGCCATGGTGGGCGCCAAGAAGATGGTACCATGGTGGGCGCCAAGAAGATGGTACCATGGTGGGCGCCAAGAAGATGGTACCATGGTGGGCGCCAAGAAGATGGTACCATGGTGGGCGCCAAGAAGATGGTACCATGGTGGGCGCCAAGAAGATGGTACCATGGTGGGCGCCAAGAAGATGGTACCATGGTGGGCGCCAAGAAGATGGTACCATGGTGGGCGCCAAGAAGATGGTACCATGGTGGGCGCCAAGAAGATGGTACCATGGTGGGCGCCAAGAAGATGGTACCATGGTGGGCGCCAAGAAGATGGTACCATGGTGGGCGCCAAGAAGATGGTACCATGGTGGGCGCCAAGAAGATGGTACCATGGTGGGCGCCAAGAAGATGGTACCATGGTAGGTGCCAAGACGATGGTACCATGGTGGGCGCCAAGAAGATGGTACGATGGTGGGCGCCAAGAAGATGGTACGATGGTGGGCGCCAAGAAGATGGTACGATGGTGGGCGCCAAGAATCCTTTGGGAACTATTGTTCTACTTTCATTGACTTCAGACAACTTGAAAAATTGATACAACAGTTTCAGATCGCAGCATGTTTTGCTCAGAGTGTTTAAATTTGTTACATTGGTCGAAGAAAAAAATTCCCACTTCATCTTCATTTATGGTAACAAATCTGTATGGGGTTTGTCAGCCCCAGCCAACGAGTCTGACGTCTGCTCCGGTTGCTGTTTTTGCCGGGCCTCAGTGTAACAGTGACCCTCTCCTTACGATTTCGTTCAAGTTCAACTTTAAAATCAATTCTAGATACTTCTACATAATAAAATGTTGCAGAACCTCTTGGAACAATAAATAAAAGGTCAGTTCCTGTAGTGGCGTAGGAATATGTTCCCACGGTTTTGACCAACACAGCACCTTTAGGTTTTATTACACGTGTGTATTACCATATTTATGACATGGTCATATAACAAAGTAAAACAGGTCAGTTATGTGATAAATATTGTTTATTGGTATAACCGATATATCAAAAACAAAAAACTGCAATAACAAATATGTAAATTTAAATTTGCTCTGCATTCTTCCATTGCAATGCATTGAGATAACAAAATGTTGTTATGAGACTATAACAACATTTGCTATTGTAACGTCATCAATCTCTATTGTGACGTCATCAACTTCATTGTTGTCAATACCTAATTTGCTGTTCAAAGAACTGTTAGAAATAACTAAATAAAGTGTAACTACCACATCAAAATATAAATATAAATAATGAATATTTAAGCAATTATTGTAATGGTCCTATAACATACATTTCTATTGCTGACAAACCTACATAAAGCCCTTGCTTGGTTTGAATAAGTTTGTCATTAATAGCAGCCTGTGTTATAGGACCATAACAACATTTGTTAATACATTCATTGCTTGATTGAAGTACTGCCGTACAAGCTGCAGAATCTGGAACTTTATTCTGTGAGCACAACTATATTTAGCTCACCGTGTACAAAACCAGGTCAAGAATGATCATTGAGAATTGTGTGAAAAGCGTTTATAAAAACATAACAATGGTGTATTTCATTTCTTTGGGTCTCAAGTTTTTGCCCTTAAGGGGTTGGAAGGATATACTAAATCTTTTTAGAGAAAACTATAAATGACAAAAAATACTTTTCATTTAAATAAATGTTGGTAGCATGACAGGTAAAGTAAATCTTCTTCTTTAGTAACATAGGGTCAGTGTCCTGATATTTTCCCAGTACGTTTCTGTGATGGAGTGCTAATTAAAGCAACATTTTCTAAAGAACTATAACGTCTAGAGCCATTATACTTTTGTATGTTATATAGACCAGCAATGTACACATTATTTCTTCTTTCTAAATTTTGTGTCTAGGTGAAAGGTTAACTTTGAGAGTTGGCCGGGCTAAAATGTCAACAAGAAGCCTCTTTTTCAGTACCATTATATATAAACCCCGGATTCTGATAGTCAGCCAGTACCTAGGTACCCCAGGTATACTACTGTGCTACAAATTGCTCTCATATATATGACCTTAGCCTACTTTCAAGGTCATAAGGGACATATATGTCAATTAATCAGCCTGGGTCATGTTATTTGGCTGGCAGAATGCCAGATTTACCAGAAAATAAGGTCAAGTTTGTTAGAATCAATAACCTTTACCTACTTATCAGTCGGTTTTCCCAATAAGTATATTATGCAGAACGATCGTAAAGTGTTTTTCTGTGGATTTTAGCGACTCTGAAATAATATTTGGCCTGTATCTATCAAGTGTGTTTAGGTAAATGTAAACTTTGAGTATCTATATCCAGGTATAGAGTGGTATTATATACATTCCACTTTAAAGGTCACAGATTTGTTTGCCAACAGCACTGAAAAGTAGTTGATTGGTAGTGGAATTGTATAGGACCATTTGGTCTCAAAATTATAATCCTTTGAATGGCTCACTATCTGTAGTCTAGACATTTTAATAACAATCCTGTGAATGTCTCACAATCTGTAGTCTAGACATTTTACTTATAATCCTGTGAATGTCACACAATCTGTAGTCTAGATATTTTACTTATCATCCTGTGAATGCCACACAATCTGTAGTCTAGATATTTTACTTATAATCCTGTGAATGTCACACAATCTGTAGTCTAGACATTTTTAATAATATAATCCTGTGAATGTCTCACAATCTTTAGTTTAGAGATTTTACTAATAATCCTGTGAGTGTCACACAATCTGTAGTCTAGACATTTTACTTATATTCCTGTGAATGCCACATATCGTTAGCTGATTGGTAATCATAATAAGTTAACTTTGTCTTTAATTTCCGTGTCATTGTCATAGTTACTAGATAATACTAGTTGTTTGGTTACAGGTGTCACATACTTCTGTACTGTAGTAGTTTGACGTTTAAAACCCCAAACCTTGCCCACAGGACATCCTCCCTGTCTATACCTACAGCCGGTGTAGAGCCTGTGTCTGTGTGTATGACCCTGAGGAACTCACCACTTCCACTGATGAGTAGGACCCTGTAGTTGTTACGGTCCCCTATGATCAGGTTCCCCACACTGTCATACACCACACCCCAGGGGCTAAATTGTTTACCTCCTGTTTGGGTTGTTGGTCTATATGTACTGGGGAGGTCACCTCTATATACAAACACCTGCTTGAAATCAGTGTCCATCACAACAACATGTCCCTTTCCATCACCACTATCACTTTCACTACTGAAATCAGTGACTGCCACATTGTGATTGATAGGACACTCTGAGATCCTGTTTGGTGTACACACTAATGGTTTCCCAGTACCTTTAGCCATAGTAGTACACACCATTTTACCATCTGTGGTAAATTTTGAGATGTGTTTGGTCATCCCTACAATGACATGGTTACTGGCTGTAATACATATACACCAGGGTTCCTCCTTGGTACTAAATCTGTGTGTCAGTCGTCCTGATACCAGCTCCATGATGTTGTTGTTATAATCACAGACCCACAGTGTTTGTGTGGTGGGTGACAGACTGATGTCATTGATCCAGACATGGTGTTCCACCTTCTGTATTACTTTACCGTTCCTGTCCAGGAGAGTTAATTTGTTACTGTCCTTGGTCCACACCTGACCATCAGTGGTGGGACATATAGACCTAATGTAACATGGAGACTCCCACTCCTCCACTACCTTGGTCTGTGGCAGTAGTTTGTATGTTGTCACTGCTTTCTTCACTTTTGTTCCTGACCGTTGTTGTTGTGTAGAGGGTTGTCCCAGATCATCAGATGTTGAGACTGACCGATCCTGGTCAGTTAAAGTTTGACATTGACCTAAGGTGATAACTTTTCCCAAGGCTTTTTCCAAGTGATCTTGAGGACTTTCATTTGGAGTGAAGTTGGCAGTACCCAGGACAGGTGTTACAGGGAGACTGTGTGTAAGAGAATGGATCTCACAATATGTATCATAAATCTGTAAGTGTGAACCACTCTGGAGAGCTGCTTTACATTCTTGAATTTGTTGTTTGAGTTGCTTCTCGTACATCTCCAGGTCCTGTTTGTATTTCTTTATCAGCTTGGTATTATCCTCTTCCATTTTGTGGTAAAGAGAGAGTGTCTGAGCTGTAAGCCTGACCAGCTCTTGTTTTAATTTATCCGTTTGCATCTTTAACTTTTGTGACAGCTTCTCAAAAGTACTGGTGTTGTCTTTAAGCAGGATATTGGTAGTGGTGATATATTTTCCAATTTGTACAAGGTCGTTTTTTTCTGTTCTGTCTATAAAGTTTTTAATGTCTGGTTCTTTCTGGGGAGTGATTTCACTTAGCTCACACACTTGATGGATTTTGTGAATAGAAGAAAGGCATTTTAGACAAACCGGTTCCTGACATTTTTCACAATACATTTCTAGCTGTCTCCCCTTGTGGTGTATACATGTCGTTTGACCTTTAATACGGAGAGGTATTTGGCTTATAGGGGTTGCCATTTTGATGAAAACCTAAATTACTTGTTGAAGCCTTGAAGATGTTTGTTGTTTTTGTATAATTATGTATTGTTATCAGAACTCACAAATAAGAGTTTGCCATGTAAAGAAATACAAACTTGACTAATGAATAACCACCTCACGATCACTGATGTCACAGGGTTACTGTGATGATGAATCCAGGTTTACCGTTCCACACTTCAGAAGGTTCACTTACATTGTCTATAGTTATGCAGCCCTGGGATTCACAATCACATGATGAACTTCCCTCTATCTTTGCTGATTAATCTGTCACTTTCCTGCGGACATTGTAAAAGTTTGATCAAAACATTCAGTAAAAAGTTCGGCTGAATTTGACAATGCTGCTGACTAGTTAGTAATATCAACAGATTTCGGCTCTGGATACGCCCATCACTGCGGCAATGCGTAGGTCTACCTGTTTAAACCTGCAGTTGTACATAGTAAATAACTTCCCTGTTGTACATATTAAATAACTTCCCTGTTGAGCGAAGTTACCGACAGACATACAGTGATAATAAAGATATCTATAGTAAAGTAGGTCATTGGAGGTTGTGTTTAAATAACCTTATAATTTACATAGCATGTGTGTATTGTCTGAAATGTATGTGTATTCAGTAATGTGATACATGTACTGTAGGAAGATATACCTGTGTATTGGGTAATGAGACATACCTGTTCCTTAGATAGATATACCTGTGTATTGGGTAATAAGACATACCTGGGTAAATATACCTGTGTATTGGGAAATAAGACATACCTGTACCTTAGATAGATATACCTGTGTATTGGGTAATGAGACATACCTGGGTAGATATACCTGTGTATTAGGTAATAAGACTTACCTAGGTATGTCTTTCTAAGGTTAAGGAACTTTGAGATTATCTATCATTAATATATCATCACCTTGGGATGTAGATTATTATTTGTTCAGATAGAACCTTTTACCAAGGGGTCAAAGTTCAATAAAGACATCAGTCTGTTTTTGTTTGAAATTCCTGTTCCCCATAACAATGTTTGTTCGAATATTTCAGCTGAATTGGGGGTTTTTAGATTTCAAATCAGGATTGTACCATAATTGTTATAAACAGTATTAAAGATTTCAGAATCTGATCGGAATTTAATTAAATTTGACTGGAAGCAAACCTAGATGGTGGTGATTCAAAATTGTACAAGTGGTGTGGCTGACCCCCAAGGGGGCTGAGGGGCGGGGACCAAAAAGGGTTATTTGGCTATATTGCTTTAAGCGACTTCTTCTCTGGAAATTTTATTACACATGCGTGCGTAAACAGAGTTGCTTCCCCTTGCTACACCTTGCCTTTAATTTTATTTCGTCCAGAAGTAGACGTCCAGTGGGGAAACAGGAAGTGTATCCCTGAAGCAAAGACAACTGTGTTTCAACCCATACATGAACATCTTCATATAGTGAAAACAATCTTCATGTTTTATTACTTGTTTATTGAGATAAAAACTAATATACATTCTGAATCAAAAAGTCTATCACATAAAATCTGATACTAACAGGCATGAAACTTCATTCGGAGATTATTATACTATGACGTCACAAACACGTCACAATCCATCAGCCTTCATCGGTTATTTCCGGAAGGATGAAAAATAACCGGAAAATTCTGATGTCCGTTGCATTTATCTATTTGCAGGCACTTCAAGATTTTTTTTATTTCAGTTTTTGTCACTGGCACAAAATGTAACAGGAGGCCCAGAGGGCCTGTATCGCTCACCTAGATATCTAAGCAATTATGGCAATATATTCTCCAAATGAGATCCAAGGGAATATGTAGCAGATCTGTATTAAATTTTCCATGCCCAGCAATTTTATGTATGGTTATGGGATGGGGATCTCAACTGTGACCAGACCCAAGGATCAATTCTAATATCATAACTGCATTCGTCTCTTTTTGCCCATCATTTGTATTTATAGATTTGGGGTGGGGATCTAAACCATTTCGAAATTATGACCAAGAGATTAAGTCTCCAAGGGTGGGGCAGACCCCAATGCCATCCTTCTTTAATCTTTAAACAACTTCTATGTAATCAAGAGGCCCAGAGTCATGATATTGGGTCAGTAGCATGCTGGGATGAATGACATTAACCTTCCTTCAAGGTCACAGAGGTCAAATGTGTTAAAATCTTTAAACAACTTCTCTATAACCAAGACGCCCAGAGTCATATTTGGCCAGTAGCAGACTTGGATGATGGGCCACCAAGTTCAAATGAATGACCTAGGCCTACTTTCAAGGTCACAGGGATGTAATGTGTTAAATCTAAATTTAAAAGTAAAACATCATCTTTTAGTATACATATTATCATAACTCAGGTGACTGATAAGGCATAAGGGCCTCGTTACTTTAAAATCTTTTTCTAAATAGCCAAGTGTTGTAGGATCACCATATCCTGCTTGTATATGTAGCATGCATGAATGAAGGACTACCAAGTTTGACCAGTGGAATGACCGGTATCCATATTCAAGGTCAAGTTGGTCGAATATATGTTGAAATTAAAGCAACCCTTTGATCTTGACCATTGGTGGAAGTCATTCATTATACCCCCACTTTAGTAAGGGGGTATATAGTAATCACTTAGTACTATATAGTAATGTCTGTCCGTCGGTGCGTGTGTCCGTCCATGATAACCTTGACAGATGTAGTTTATATTCACACCATAGCATCACACAATCAAGGTCTACAGCTGATTATATTTTGGTGGTCTTCGGTCAAGGTTTAAGGTCAAAGGTCACAATTGACCACTTTTGAAATAAAAAAGCTTGTGTACAAGATATCTCATAAACCCCAAAACAGATTTAGTTCATATTCACACCATAGCATCACACCAAGTTCTACACCTGATTAGATTTTGGTGTTCATCAGTGAAGGTTAAAGGTCACACTTGACCACGTTTAAAATAAACAAGAGACACAAGGGCCTTAGCGGTCACCTGATTTATATCATAGGTACTGGAAGCTTTATTTTATTGTTTAGATGTGATGTGGAAATCAGCATGTAAACTAAGTGAAATAAAATACTTGTCATGTCATCAAAGGATAAGAATTTGAAAATATTGGTAAATGTTCCCTTTGGGGCCCCGCCCTAGCCCCTTTGGATGGGGCAGGAATCCCAATTTTACAAAGCAATACTCTCATTAACCAAAGATGATTCTTACTAAGTTTGAGCAATTTTCTGCTGAAAATGGATAAAATATATACCCAAAAGTGTTATTTCCCTATATAAACTATAGTAAACTTCACCCCTTCCCCAAAGGAGAACGATAGCTCGGGGGTTCTGAAATTGACGATTTAAATAAAGCCCCTGATGATTTTCTTTCCATGCAGAGAAAATGAATGTAGTACCTCTGAGCCTGGAGGAGAAAAAATTGGAGATATTGGTTAATTTTCCCTTTGGAGCCCCACCCTGGCGCCTGGAGTTGGGGTAGGAATTTTAATTTTACAATTTGAAACCATCTTCCTCCAAGGATAATTCTCACCAAGTAAAAATAATTTCCTACAGAAAGTTGTCAAAATATACCCAAAAGTGTTATTTCCCTATATAAACTACTGTAAACTTTACCCCCTCCCAAAGGGAGAACGGATAGCTCGGGGGTCCTAAAATTCTCAATTTAAGTAAAGTCCCTGATGATCTTTCTTTCCATGCAGAGAAAATGAGTGTAGTACCTCTGAGTCTGGAGAGGAAGATTTTTGAAATATTGGTTAATTTTCCCTGTTGGGCCCCACCCTGGCCCCAGGGGTTGGGGTAGGAATATCAATTTTACAATTTAAAACCATCTTCCTCCAAGGATAATTCTCACCAAGTAAAAATAATTTCCTACAGAAAGTTGTCAAAATATACACAAAAGTGTTATTTCCCTATATAAACTATAGTAAACTTTATCCCCTCTCCAAGGGAGAATGGTGGCTCGGGATACTAAAATTCACAATTTAAGTAAAGCCCCTGACGATCTTTCTTTCCATGCAGAAAAAATGAGTGTAGTACCTCTGAGTCTGGAGAAGAAGACTTTTGAAATATTGATTAATTTTCCCTGTTGGGCCCCACCCTGGCCCCAGGGGTTGGGGTAGGAATCTTATTTTTACAATTTGAAACCATTTCCTTCCAAGGATAATTCTCACCAAGTAAAAATAATTTCCTACAGAAAGTTGTCAAAATATACACAAAGTGTTATTTCCCTATATAAACTATAGTAAACTTTACCCCCTCCCCAAGGGAGAACGGATAGCTCGGGGGTCCTGAAATTAACAATTTAAGCAAAGCCCCTGATGATTTTTCTTTCCATGCAGAAAAAATGAGTGTAGTACCTCTGAGTCTGGAGAAGAAGATTTAATGAAATATTGGCTAATTTTCCCTTTGGGGCCCCGTCCTGGCCCCAGGGGTTGGGGTAGGAATCCCAATTTTACAATTTGAAACCATTTCCTTCCAAGGATAATTCTCACTTAGTAAAAATAATTTCCTACAGAAAGTTGTCAAAATATACACAAAGTGTTATTTCCCTATATAAACTATAGTAAACTTTACCCCCTCCCCAAGAGAGAACGGATAGCTCGGGGGTCCTGAAATAAACAATTTAAGTAAAGCCCCTGATGACCTTTCTTTCCATGCAGAGAAAATGAGTGTACCTCTGAGTCTGGAGAAGAAGACTTGAAATATTGGCTAATTTTCCCTTTGGGGCCCCGCCCTGGCCCATGGGGTTGGGGTAGGAATCTCAATTTTACAATTTGAAACCATCTTCTTCCAAGGATAATTCTCACTAAGTAAACAAGAGGCCCAAGGGCCTTAGCCGTCACCTGAGTTATATCATAGGTACTGGTAGCTTTATTTTATTGTTTAGATGTGATGTGGAAATCAGCATGTAAACTAAGTGAAATACAATACTTGTCATGTCATCAAAGGATAAGAATTTGAAAATATTGGTAGATGTTCCTTTTGGGGCCCCGCCCTAGCCCCTGGGGACGGGGCAGGAATACCAATTTTCCAATGTAATACTCTCATTCACCAAAGATGATTCTGACTAAGTTTGAGTAATTTTCTGCTGAAAGTGGATGAAATATATACCCAAAAGTGTTATTTCCCTATAAAAACTGTTGTAAACTTTACCCCCTCCCCAAGGGAGAACGGATAGCTCTGGGGTCTTGAAATTTACAATTTAAAGAAAGTCCCTGATGATCTTTCAATCCATGCAGAGAAAATGACTGTAGTATAGGAGTCTGGGGAAGAATATTTTTGAAATATTGGTTATTTTTCCCTTTTGGGCCCCGCCCTGGCACCTAGGGTTGGGGTAGGAATCACAATTTTACAATTTAAAACCATCTTCCTCCTCCAAGGATGATTCTGACCAAGTTGAAATAATTTCCAACTGAAAATTGTCAAAATATACCCCAAATTGGTGTTCCCCTATTTAAACTATAGTTAACTTTACCC